AAAAAAAAAAAAAAAAAAAAAAAAAAAAGCTTCATGTGTCAAAAATAAAAAGGCTTAATATAAAACTCAATGTAGCATTTTTCTGACATGAACAAATGCTTTAAGTTTACAAATATTGCCTATCTCGTTTCAGCTTTTAAAAACTGTGCTTTAGTCTAAGCATCTTCCTAGGTGATGTGCATGTGTGTGTATAGCATGTGGCCGCAGTAGCACTTCAGAAAAGCATTTACTACCTCCAGCAGCACCTGTGCCGGTCATTAACCAGAAACAAGCAGTAGTGACTCCCTAGGAAGCACAACCTGTTGAATTGAGCTGAGGGTTCTAACCATGGCACTCAGTGCACAGACAGAAGACAGCTGGAGAGTCTGCCCCTGGGGACTAACGCGAAGCAGGGCTATTTCTGTCTTACTGCTGAAAGGTGGAAGACAAAGAACCATTTTTAGGAGCTTGGTTAGGTTTAGTTTAAGATGCCCTGCAATCCAGCTCCTCACCTCCACATTTGGTGTCCTGCAGATACTTACACCCCACTCCATCCTTTGTTGATTCTCGTTACAGGCTCTGCCTCCCTCTTCTACCCCTCTAAATCCTTTTGCCTGTCCACTTGTGGCCCAGTTTGGAGAGGTCTGTAGGGAGTTTAGAGAGATGAGGTACTGGCATGTGGCCTCACAGCTGAGCTGCCTGGGACCGCTCAGCCTGGAAAGCACTAGGCTCGGTGAGGACGTTAGTGAGCCTTTCCAGTGTCCGTGCATCATGTGTGGCTCTGAAGGACCCACCAGAGCAGCTCTGCTCAGGCTCAGAGAGCTGGTGGGAGGTGGTTAGAAGGAAGCAAACATGATGAGCTGAGGTTTGCAGGGCAGCAAACAGACTTGTAGGGGTTGTGGTGGTTGGTCTCACTTACGTGTGACGTGTGCCTCTCACTGTTCGGTCTCTGGACTCTTTCAGAAGAGGCAGACCACTACAGCTTTGGGGCAGGCACCCTGACCAGGAAAAAGAAGGTGCTGGTGACTCTGAGGGACGAGGGTCTGCGCCGGCGCGCCCACCTTGACATCAGCATGCCACACGACTTCCGCCCAGTGTCCTCCATCATTGATGTGGACATCCTCCCTGAGACACACCGCCGAGTAAGGCTCTACAGACATGGCTGTGAGAAGCCACTGGGCTTCTACATCCGAGATGGCACAAGTGTGCGGGTGACTCCCCATGGGCTAGAGAAAGTTCCAGGCATCTTTATTTCCCGCATGGTGCCTGGGGGTCTTGCAGAAAGTACTGGGCTGCTGGCTGTGAATGATGAAGTCCTGGAGGTGAATGGGATCGAGGTGGCTGGGAAGACACTTGATCAGGTCACAGACATGATGATCGCCAACAGCCACAACCTCATTATCACCGTCAAGCCTGCCAATCAGAGGAACAACATTGTCCGAAGCAGCCGCACCTCTGGTAGCTCTGGCCAGTCCACGGACAGCGCTGCCAGCCACTACAGCTTGCCAGCTGCCCACGTCCTGCAGAACTTCCATCCCGATGAGATGGAGAGTGACGAGGAGGCCGACATCGTCATCGAAGGGGCTTTGGAGCCTCACCACATTCCCCAGACACAGGCCGTGCTTTCTGGCAGCCTCTCTCGGGCCAACGGCACCAGTCTTGTGCACAGGCTGCATCGGGACCTGGCCCTGCACAGCTCTGGGAGAGAAAGCAATGGCAGCATTCATAAATTGCTCAGCTCCCTGAAGTCGGACCCCCGCAACAGCCTGGTCCTCCCCCAGGGTGGGGTGGAGGAACACGGGCCCGCTATTACGCTGTAGGGCCCAGGCCACTGGAGGAGACCATGTTGACATTCAACCTACGAGTGGGGGAACATTGAGAGAGGAGCCAGTAATGCCACGAGTGATTCCAGAAGTAAAACTTCCAAAGGGGAATAAATGTTTTACATTTTTGTATCAATTTTAAAGTAAGAAAAGTAATTGTCTACTTCATTCCCTCCTTTTTAAATCACTCCCACAGCTGTAGTCTTTAACTTTTGAACAGAAATTTAAAATACTGTATTTTTATAGGATTTCTCCATAGAAATTAAACACACATGCACACACTTTGGGCCAGGCCTAAGTGCAGGTCCCAGAAAAAAAAGACTTCTGACTACAGAACAAACCTTTATTTTTAAATTATAAAAATACTTCATTTTTTTGAACGAAGCTTTAAAATAACTTTTTAAGTAATAAAGTTCATGTTTTTAACTTAACTGGTGCAAAAACACCCCATGATGCCCATGCTTTCTGCTGACCTGCTGGCAAGGCTGCGACAAGAAGGCAGGGACTATTCCTAAGGACAGAGGCACCCAAATCTGTGTCAGGTATGACCACAGGAGAAGAATTTCAGTTTTCACAGTGTTTCACAGCCAGTTCACAAAAACCAGAGGGGGATGGGGAGCACCACACAAGAACATACATCGCTGTGGTCCTAGCAACCCACAGCTATGGAATTGTATTTATGATGCCAGAGGTGGCCATCTTCAGCCTTCCCAGAACCAGTAAAGGAAGCAGGCTGCACAGGAAGGTGAAGCTCAGCAACATCCCAGCAGCGTGTGCTCCAAAGCCAGTGTTTACTGACATGAGTCAGCCTTTCCCTATGGGTCAGCTGGCTCTAGGGCAATGTTTTCAGATGTGAGGGATGTGTAACACAGACTGTGGAGTCTCAAGAACAGACAGTTGGATGCATGCAATTATCTTTGCTGTTAAAACAGCCGGCTCTAAGTCAGTTAATATGTGCTAATTTCCATTCCTAGAGTAGTGGTCAGTGGCAGGAATTCTGCTTTTAACTATAACAAGTCTTGTGGAACTTAATGGTTTTGACAAATATTAAATTCCTTGTCATTTCTAACTTCTTAGGGATTCATGTTTCACCCAATTAAATTTTTTGTTTGAATACAAAATCATGGGGAAAACGTTGCACTTATACTTTAAGAACAAACTTTGACCAAATCTTTCGTGTAAATACAGGTAAAGTATTATTACTCGGTTTTAAGGCTGCAAACGCCACCTGTTGTTCCCCTTGTGGTGTACCACCACCTGCTGGTCAGTGGCAGAACTGTCCTGATTTTGTGACTGTCCTATGGAAACAGTGCAGCTCAACATTTTCATTTGCCTTCAGTTCATTAAAACAAAATTATTTTCCTTTCAGAAACTATTTATTGGGCAGAAGTATCTTTTGCTAAGTGACTATGTCTCCTACGCTGGTGTCTGAGTTTTTCATTGTGTGCAAAGGACAGGGACCACATGTTCCTGAGCACAGGAAGTAAGTAGCAAGATGCCTCCCCTCCAGGTCTCATGAGGGCACTGAGGAAATGCAAGAGTATTGCCTTTGCTACCACAGCATTTTTTACTAAGATGAGTATTTTAGACCCAAAGTTCTAATGCTTTGTTACTATCACACAGAATATTCATTTAATAAGTATCTGTGGAATAACTGGGTCTGCTACCAAGTAGGAAAGTTATATTTCCAACCGTTTTTAAGTTGTTGGAGCAAATGTGAATCAGTATTTTAAAGAAAAAAAGGCTTACTCTGAAATTGTGCCTGTTTGTCGTAATTATAAGGATTATAAACTGCTTAGAATAGCTGCTTAAGTATATTTTTCTACCCAGGTCTGTAATTCTGTCATTTTTCTTTTCTCCTTTGACAAAAAAAAACCAAAAAACTGTCATTATAAAGAAAAGGGGTTTTTTGTTATTGTTGTTTTATATTTGAGAATAAAGTTTTTGCTTTTAACAAAATGCATTTCTGATGTATTTCAGTTATGTTCTAAACAAAGGTAGAGAGACCATGCCAGTGACAGACACTGACCACGCCAAAGGGACTGATCCTTACCAGTTGCCTGTCACAGGCCGCACTTTCTCACTTAACCCTCACACACTCTCTGCAAGTGTTATTCTTTCCACTTCATAGATGAAAAGACCTTCCTACAAATGAGAGCGCCTCCGAGTCCCTTGGGGAAAGCTTCTCTGAACGCTTATACAGCCCTCTCAAAATGTACCCTAGTTTGCAGTGTTCGCTATCATTCTGACATTACTAAGTGTATCCTGCTCCCATCAAGAATTACTGAAATCACAAACACTGTGGTGGCAGTAAGCACCCGCAATTCCTGGAGGGGGGCCAGACAGCCTCATAAAAGCTTCACAGGTGTCCTCACCTTACTGGATCCTCACAATGACCCAGGACTATACCCTCTTTCCAGTTTAAAGTTAGAGAGACGGGAGTGGTGGCACATGCCTGTCATCCCAGCACTCAGGAGGCTGAGGCAGGAGGATCGCCAAGTGTTCGAGGCCAGCCTGGGCTTGAAGGCAGCCTGAACTACGTAGTGAGACCCTGTCTCGAAAAGGGAAATGCAAGTAGCTGAATGTGGACCATGGCAGTCTGATGAGTTGGAGCTGACAGTCGGGCACCAGTGCTGGGCACATTCTATAAAACACTTGTGCAGCACAGTATGAGGTGCAGGTGCTTAAGTGTGGTCCACATCACAAACCAAGAGCATGTGCTGCTTGGGAGAATCATTCTGCCAGTGGATGATGAAATTTTTATCACAAAGATGGGGTCATTTAGTATCTTACAGCTTTACATGAAATAATCATAGATGAGGAGCAAGGCTGCCATGGCGAGCTGCAAATGTCATACAAGTAACCTTTCCCTCTATCACAGGGCCCCTTTGAACCCTGGCATGAGAAAACAGACACTAGAATGGGTGACAAGTTGTTCAGCTGGAGGGAAAACTTACATATTAGCAGGGAAGTGAAATTTCTCAGAAATGCTCTAAAGAGCAAGCAGTCTGAGTCTTGACTTACAGCAACATGAGACTGAAGCCTTGTGTGAGTGTGGAATGCACCATTTCCTGAGAATCTGTGCCTGCTGAGCTGAGGCCTGGCCTCGGGAAGGTTAGAAGCTCAGCAATAAGCACAAGGCCTTGCTACTGCAGACGGGTTGGGGTTTGTTCAGAGAACATGCCAGCCCATCCCAGAGCTCTGACTCCAATCTGGGTGGGGTCTGAGAATTTTCGTTCCCAATAAATGCTCAGGTGATGCTGATGCTGCACCCCAGGGATGACACTCAGAACCATCAGCCCATTCCCTCAAAAAGTTATCAGGAGAGCATGGTGTTTGCTCAGGGGCCTAGGATTCATGACCAAGGATTCATTCACAGAACACAGGATTTTTCTCCATCACCTTAGGCGCCACTGCAGAGTTTGTACTATAATTTATGCACACAGACTGCTGATACTTTTCATCCCCACCCTGCCATGCTGTGATGCTGCACCACCTCCTGCTCTTCCTTTCTTCCTCCTCCAACATCCATCTCAGAGCACTTATCCCAGACACCTCCAACTCCAGCCCACTTCTATGTTTTTTCAGTTAGGTTTTATTTTCCTTTGTCCTCAAAAAAAAGTAATTAAAGATCTGTAAGGTATTGAGACTTCTGTCAGTACAGAAACATTTCCAGGGAGAGGCATAAATGTTTATGGCCTTGATAAACAAGATGATCCAGCGCTGCTCTCAGCATACCAGTGAATGAGTCATTTTACATATTCTGCTCCACAAGCTTTGACAAACACAGACATGCCAGCATAAGAGCTGTATGTTACATCAATAACATACAGGAGTTGACAGCAGAGGTACTAGATACATTCCAGCAATGCTGGGTACAGAGACGAGGATTCAAGTTCAAGCTCAGCCTGTGTAATTTAGTGACTCAGTAGACCCTGTCTCAAAGTAAAGGGCTGAGGATGTAGCACAGCGCAAATACCCTAGGTTCAATACCCAGTTCTAGAGAATTAAAAACTTAAGAACTATACAATGGTAAATGTCCTATGACCTATTAAGGTGGTCGTGGCCACCTGAGGGTCTGTTTCATTACACCACCACCAAGGCACACTTGCCATGTGAACCCTATCTGAGCCGACACTGCAGAGACAGACAGGATGAGGGAGCACTCCCTGTGCAGGGCCACTAACCACAGACAGCAAATCAGCAAGAAAAAACTAATCTTTTCCTAAACACCGTTTCTTACTCTCTATGATTCTTGCTTTTGACAGCATTTTGGAGAGGGAGCACCTTAAAGACCAATGAGAACAACCTAAGTAGAAACCTGGTCCTCAGCAGTGACCAGCTTATGTGACCAACCCAGTCATACTTAGTGCTTACACCCCTACTTCCTACCCCTGCCCTCGGCAGCAGCCAGTGTAGCACACAAACGCTTCTTCTTTCCATGATGCTGCGTGTTTCAGAGCAACAGTGACGTACCAATGAGAAAAGTGTGTTCAAGGCCGAACAAGAACATGACAGCTGCAGGGCAAGGTGGAACCTCACACCCCACACTGGTGCTGAGTGCAGCACAGAGCTGAGAAAGAGCACCTCAGCATCTCACTCAATACCAGCAGGGTCCAGAGAGGGCTTTCATCTCTCCTAGTGTCACTGAGGCTTGGGGACACTTACACCATCTCCCCATCTCTGCCAAAAGTAGGTCATACGACACCTGAGTCTCTCATAAGCCAAAAGAATAAGTCCAGCCTCCCTGCATGGAATCACTTGCCTTGGTGCTAGGAGGCTTTGTAGCAGACAGGACTCAACTGTACCTGCTATCTGGTTATAAATTCTTCCATTACCGAAAACAGTAAATGGAGTGAGTTAGGCAAATAGAGATGAGCCCTGGAACTTCTGTGCAATTTTAAAATCAAGAAATTTGTATTAGCCCATTCTCTGTTACTCAGAATTAACACCTGTGGCTGAGTAAATTAAAAAAGTAAAGGCTTACTCAGGTCACATCTGTGTGACCAGCACCATGGTGGAAGTGCATATGGCGGGGCTCAGAGGTAAGCATCACGTCACCAGGCAGGAAGCCAAACAGCAACGCAGGGGCCAGGATCAGGATTTTACAACTAGTTCTCAGGGGAACTTGGTGAGGGTCCCATGGCAAATAATCCATCCCAGAGGCAAAGCTGATTACCTGTGGACCACTTACTGGGCCCTGTCTCCTACAGGCCCCACCACCTCTCAGCATTGCCACCCTGGGATCAAGCCTCCAGCTCAATCTGTGGTGATGCAAGTCGCTAGACCACAGCATAGCTCCGTAGAAACCTTTGAAAGCTAAGCTGAGACAGGCTCTGTGTGTGTGTGTGTGTGTGTGTGTGTGTGTGTGTGTGTGATGAGAATAACATGCCCACTTTGGAGAATTTTTAAAATATCAAGTAATTAAAGAAGAAAAACTCCATAGTTAGTATGCTAGATAATTGTTGCTTTCATGTTTCTTTAAAAGCTGTCAGACAACTTGTTACTAGATAAAATAATTGAGATTCTACACAGAATAGTAGTACACTTTACTTTGTCTCATGTAACACAGTTTTCCCATAATGATAAACGTTCTTCCAAAATAGTACTTTTAATAGCTGCAAAATAAGGAGATGTCTACATTAAGCTTCCCATCTTCTTGCTGATAGATACTGGGTTATTTCTTTTCCTCATACAAAAATCACCAGCAGTGGGAAGCTGTGTTTACAATTTCATTTATTCCCTTCGGATAGATCTCTAGACATGAAATTACTTAATCAAAGGGTAGGAACATCTTTGAAGTCTTGGTGTTTTGGTTTTCATTTTTTTGTTTTATTTTTTCTTCTGAAACAGTTTCACAGAAGTTTCCAAGGACAGCACAAAAAGCTATTGACTTAGCTCCCAAACCAATGCCCTAGATCAGTGATGGCAACCCTTTCAGAGCTTTCAATAATAGCACGATGCAGCACACATGCCACAGGTTCACCATCATTGCCCTAAACCCAACCCGCTGTTTCCACAGACAAGGACATTCTCCTACATGGCCACACCACCATTAATGAGAAAATTAACGCCAACAAGCTATGGCCCTCTAGCCCCTCTACTCAGGTTTTTCCAGTCATATGTGTAGCACCCCATATAACAAAAGGACATGGTTCAGAATCGGCTGTACTTAGTGGTCTTCAGTGTCCTTGGATCTGAACAGTTTAGTCAAGCCTGGACCTGTATGACCTCGGCACTTCTGAAGATCACAGGCCAGTCCCTGTGTAGCAGCTCTCTCCATTTGGTCTCGTCTTCCAGCCCTCACAGCTATGTACCTTTGCCAGGAACTATCGTAGACACTGTGCTGCATTCGCAGGGCCCTGGCAGGTGGCTCCAGTCATTGACACTGCTGGCTCTGCTTCGTACAAGACTGCAAAGTCTTCCTCATTGTAAACATTCCTTTCCTTTTGAACTCTTCGGTATTTTATAGGGAGGCATTTTGAAACTAAGGCTGTATCACATTCTTCATCAAATTTTCAATTCTTTGTATCAGTAAAAACTCATGGATTCCTATTTATTCATATATTCACTGCCATCACTATTTTGATATCAAAAGATGCTTAGCAGAAGCCTCTTCAACCCCTCTATACATTCTTTTTACTTTACACACTACTCTCATCAGAGGAAATCCTGTTTCTGCCTCCTCTTATACATTGCCTCCCTCGGACCAAAAATCAGCCTTTTCAAGGCATTCCAGCTCCCCTTGTGAAGGACAGCGTTCAGAAGTCAAGATCTGAGCTCTGACGATGTTCCTTGTTCCTGAGAGCACAATTAGGGAATCATACGCACATGTGTGGAGGCAACATTAGGGAATCATGCATGTATGCGCAGACACACACACACGTGCGCGCGCG